GTTCCTCTCTTTTCGCCTCCTGCATGGGAGGCCCTCGCCGCCACCGCTGGATTCGCCTCGAAATCCTGGTCCGAACGCACCGCGGGAGAGGTCTAAGGAGCAGCAGTACCCATGGTTCACTGCTAAGTATTCGAGAGTTCTTTCCCTTTTTGGGGGGCCAAGATCCTTTCATTTCTAATTGTTCTGTCCTGGGCCTCTTCCTGGCCACCAGGGGGCCAGGAACAACTAGAAACGAGCACAACTAGAAATGAGCACGATCAGAAATGAATGACGTGTAACTTCTCGTTGCCCCAGGATTCAGCTCCGGCGGCGGCGACGACGACGACGGTGACGGCGACCGCGGCGGCGAGACGCGAAGACGGCCACGACGGACGGCGGCGGCCCTCGAAGGGGCGCGGAGCCCGCAGCCCTGCAGGCTCCTCGCCTACGCGGTCGGCGGCGCGGTGCTGGCGAGGCTCACCGCGCAGGCGAGGGAAGGGGGCCTCCTCCCATCGGGCCAGGCGAAGGGGGAGGATTGGGAAAGGGGGGGCGCGAAGTCTGCTGCATGCAGCTGCTTTCGGCCCCACCGAGGGGCCCATTCCTCGATATACATGGCCGCCTCCGGCGCCGGGAAAATCAGCTACGCGAGCTGACTCTCAAACCCCCCCTTTGCTATCCCCCCCTGCCGCCCGGCCCGATCCCAGACAGCGCCTCGGATGCCGGCGGAAAACCACGGGAGGCGACGGCGTGCCAGGAACCACCACCAGGGATCCGTAGCCATTTTGGTTCGAGGTTCCAGCGTGCCTGTCTGAAGCAACCTAGCGTTCACGCGAACATGTAGAGAGAGGGGGGGGCAGAAAAAGAGAGAGAGAGAGAGAGAAGCGCATTTGCCGTCGTGATCTCAATGGAGCGGTAACTTGTTGGTCCCAATTGGCTGCATGGCATCCAGGATGCGCATGTTGTTGCGCGGAGTGGGTTGGCATGGCAAGGTCGGCTGATTGTGACGGCTTTCTTTGTTGTCCAGCAATCGGCGTTGGTCACCAAGTACTTCTTTCCGGACGATGAACACACGTGTACTGTGTACAAGATAAGTGGGGAAATTTGCCCGTGGTTTTAGGGGTTGTCAATCGCAGCCACTCACATTATGCGGGTTGTTTATGAGCTTTGTTTGTAGCGTCGGACAGGATGCAATGCGTAGGACTTTCCAGCATCAGAGCAGGTTGATGTTTTTACTCCTTGGTTTGTTTTGTTCGGATCTAGTCTACGCCATCGCCACAAACGTTGGTTATTTCGTCCAGCCAGTTGTGAATATGTGTTGTTACTTGTTGTTTGCGTGTGCAGCTGTATTCGAAGTACAGTTTGGGAGAGCCATCATATGCGGAGGGGGGAATACTGGCGACAATGATCCCATGCGCTGCCTCTGGCAAACTGATCTCGTTCTGTTTTACTTCCTCGTATTGATAGAGAGCTTCGTCGCGATGACCATCACTGGCCAAAACATCCCAGAGGTAGCGAACAATGACGTTGGGGCTCTGATCCAAGTGGCTCTCGAAATCGCGGTCGTTGTCGAGACCTTCTTGCTACCGCTATTTGCCGCTTCTGAGTCGGACCACGCAGGGAACGCCTCTGAGAGCCGTATGGAAAGTGCTTTCACACAAAGAGCGCTTCCGTTGCCACATGTGCCTGTCATTCTTCATCGTCGTCGAGTTCCTTGCGTTGCGGGTCAAGTACTTGATGCCCGCTAGGTCTCATGAGTAAGATTGCGCAGTGTATGAGTTGACGCACCAGGGCACGTGCCACGCCAGATGTACCATGGCCTTGGTGCAGGCCGTCGCATATCCGATCGTACTCTGCCTTCGAGTGCGCCATGTAGGAATAAGGCGCATGATATTATTCGCATCGCTGAACAAAAGGAGGCTTCTGTGCCTCTGTGCACTGCTGACGGCGGTGAGCGTCATGTACCTTGTGAGCGTGCAGCTCCCTCAGAAGGAAGGTGCGTGTACATTGCAAGTGATCGTCGACCCGCTCGCTGCCCTTATTGAAGGATGGACAGCTGCTCTAGAGGTCCAGCATCGGGGGAAAGAGCAGCATAACGTCGCAGGCGTAGTATGGAGGCTGCTTCTCACGATCTCGTGCATTGTCCTGCTTGTGTCGTACATCGTGATCACTGTTCGCCTGGATAGCGCTCTCGACGCCGCCAGCGGGGCAGGGGAAGAAGCTAAGAAGATTGCTTTCGCTCACGTCCTGGTCGAAACCGCCACTGTGATACAGTGTTTGCTGCTAGCGCTTTTTGACTCGCACAAGGTCGTGGATGATCCCCAATAGACTGGCCCTTCTCGGAACGGGGAGCTTGGAGATTGGGGCTCGCGCGGCCATGGGTCAGCAGTAGCGCCTCAAGTCTTGAGTATTCGGAACGAGGATGGGGGTTGATGGAATTGGAGGGGGAAGGGAAGGGAGATTCAAGTTCGCCAGGCTGGTTCCGAGGGAACAGCAGGGGAACGCCCGCCTTGGACAGAGACCACGCCGCCTTCACGAGCATGATTCCAGCCGCAATGGTTCTCTTCCTTCTCCCCCTTCTCTTCCGCCCCCCTGCGAAGATTGGGAGGCTGCCTGCCCGCACTGGAGCCAGTCTCGAAGTTGACGATGGCTTCCGCCGCCCTGGCACCGCACAGGCACGCAGCCGCCGTCACATCACAGGACGTTGCTCGAATTTCAAGGCTCGCATTTCCCAAAGTGCCACGCACAGTATACTCCGCGACACGCCTGCCTGCGAAAAGAACGGAAAAAGAAAACACCATCAGGGAAAGCGGTCCTGAGGGGACCAGTCCTGGAGGTCAAGTTCCCTGGGATCTGGGCGCTGGTGTGCTTTACTCCGGGCGCTTTCGCCAGGTCGCGGGCACCAGGACCATCACAGATCCATCCGGCCTGAAACATGCAGAGGACAGATGGGGTCTAGGGTTTAGATCGTGGTGCTTCGCGATGTCGCAACGCTTGCGCGACGTCCTCGGCCTCGTTGGGGCCGACCCTGGGCACCGGGGCTGCCAACACGCAGCTCAAGGCGGAAGAGTGGTCCCGGGGGGGGAGGCCCTCTCAGGGTCCTGGACAGGTTCCTCTCAGGGCTCCGTGTCCTGCACCGCGAGGAGGCTGGATGCATATGGACACGTCATGGATGACGCGGGCGGGGGCTGGCATGACATGTGGCTGCACATCTTTCCAGCGTTTGGCCCTCGTATGGCCAGGCACGGTGATCCTCTACCAGCGCTTGCAGCAAGGGGGCATCCTTACTGTTTGCCCGCATGTCTGCCCCAGAGTTACGGATGATGTCTCTCTCCCATCTTCTCCCTCAAACAAAAGCCCTATCGTGGGCCTCTAGGGGTCCTGAAGTCGCTCGAGGGCTTCTGGAGGTCCTCAAGACGCCTCTTGAGGGCTCTACGTAGGGTCCAAGGTAGCTCATCCACATCCTCCCTTTCATCTCCCCCCTCCCCATCCTGGCCCTCCTCATTCCGTAGCCCTTTCGGCTTAGGCAGTGCTGGCTCAAGAGGGGCACGGTCGCCAGCCCATGAAGCTCGAGAGATGGCGGATGAGGCAAAGGACTTCGACCTCCACTTTCTCCCGCTGGGGGCGCTGGTCGCCCTCGGGCTGGGCGTCGCGGGGGCGCTCGCGGCCCTGGCAACCCGAGGCTCCGTCCACTTCCTCCTGGCGGCCGCGCTGACGGCCGAGCTCGAAGACTCCGCGCGCTCCCGCCAGGCCCTTGTGGAGCTGGAGCTGTGGGCCATCGTGGCGCTGGACGGGCTGGCGTTCGTCAGCATCCTGCTGGCCAGGCGCGGCTGGAACCTGCCCCCGCCGCGCTGCGGCCCGCTGCGCTACCTGGCGGCGCCCGGCCTGCTGAACGCCGAGTGGCTGCTGGCTTGCACGACGTTCGCCGTGCAGGTGGCGCTCCTCACGGTGTACGCCTGCCTCCTGCAGCTCTTCCGGGTGCTCTCGGCCCTCTGCTCGGCCGAGGATCAGAGAAGAACAGTGCACCGATGCCGCTCACCTTCCCCCGTTCTCCCCTCTGTCGGCCTCCTGGGAGACTCTCGTCGCCATCGCTGGATTCGCCTCGGGCTTCTGGGAGAGGTCTGGGGAGGGGCGGTATGGGTGCCCTTTTGTTTCCCCAGCAGGACGGCACGTGCCCGGGCGCGGTGGGGGAGCACCTGCAGCCGGAGTTCCCGGGCCTCGACCCGCAGAAGTTCTGCCAGTTCGACCTGGGCGGCGACGGCCCAGTGGTCCTCTTCCTCTTCGGCTGCGTGGCGACGGTGATCAGCCAGGGGCTCATGGCCTCCAGTCTTGCCGCGGAGTGGGAGAGGGTCAGCGAGGAGCTGCACCACCAGGAGCAGGATGCCCTTCACGAGGCAGACACGGCGCCCCTGTCGTCCCCCGTGGAGGAAGCCGCCGGGCCGGATTCGAGCGGGTGAGCCCTGCAGGGCTAGAGGCGCGCTACTAGAGGGCCACCCGCAGTGCACGGGCTCCCATCCCAGCGCCTTGCCCCACCCGCTCCCCTTCCTTCCCGCTTTCCATGTGCCAGCCAGAACAGAGAACGCAGACTGTTGGTGTGGATTTGAGGCCCAGGGGTACCAAGCAATCCTGGCAACCTGCTCGTTCTGGCCCCTTCTCCTCCAATCCCCTTCCCCACGCCTCCAAAACCCGTTCCGAATTCGGACGACGCGCATGCGGCATCGAGCGCTACGCCCCTCTGTCGCGCTTCCCTTCCGCACCCCTCGCCACCCCTTTCTTGGTGCGCCAGCCCTCTGTCTCTGCACCGCCCCTCCCTTCCTCGGCTGATGTAGCCGTCCATCACGTACCTCGTGCAAACTGAGGCTCGCGTCGCGCAGAGGAGACAAACGACCTCACAGCTGAAGGTCTTCCCCCCAGACCTTCCTGGGATGGTGGAACGAGCATCCAGGTATCCGAGTTCGTGATTTCTTCAGAACGTGGACCCCCAGAGGTCTAGACCCATTCCCCAGGACTGTTGTGTGTTTCATCTCGAGGCGTTTTCGTTTACAGACTTGGTCCCACTGAGGGCCCCTTGAGGCTGAAAAATTGCAAGTCGTGATCTCTTGGCAACGAGAGGATGTGAGGGTTGTTGGCATGAGCAGGACGAGGAGGAGCAGGAGGATCGGGCTGGGCCCAGCTTCTGGGCTCCAGCTGGCTTCGGCTTCTGGGAGTGGTCAAGTGCTAGAACCTCCTCATCATCCTCCTCCTCCTCTTCCTCCTCCGTCTCGACATCCTCCCCCTCACACGTTGCCTCCTCCCCCTCCTCCTCCTGCCGCCGGGTGGGAGGCGGGAGGGGAGGGACAGCGGGAAGGATGGTCACGAGGGGCCAGAATTTGAGGAGGAGGAAGGAGGAGAAGGAGAGTTGGAAAGGGGAAGATGACGAGGACGGAGGGTTGATAGGGATGGAGGAGGAGAATGAGAAGGATTCATAAATTGCGATTGGACCGTTAGAGGTTCGAGAAAGGAAATCAGTACGGTAGGGGCTCTGGTTAAGGAATGTGCCCAGGAGGCTCCAGACCCTGGAGGGTTCCTTACCTGGCAAGGTCGGCGATGATTTCAACCAGCTTCCAGACCCTGGATTCCTTATCTAAGGGTTCCTTATCCAATGCCCTCACCGTAACTGCGGCGCGTGAAATCTTGCCGGCCCTCGGGCCCACCCCGAGCGACCAGGAGGGAGGAGGACGGAGGGGAGGGGGGGGCAGAGGTCGAGCAGCAGAAGGAAGAGGCGGCGGCAGAGGAGGAGAGGGCGGGGAGGAGGAAACAAGAAGGATGGGCGGGGGGGGGCGCAGCAGGTATCGTTTCATTCTGGTGAAGGCCAAACGGGGAGGACGAGGAGGGGAAGAGGAGGAGCAGGAGGAGGAACAGGAGGAGGAGGCAGGCGATGAAGGAAGTGGGGGGATTTGGAAGGGGAGGGAAGAAGAAGAAGGAGGGGAGAAGAAGGGAGGAAGAGGAGGACGAGGAGAAGTATGAGGATGTTGGGAACGTGTGGCTCCAATAGGGCCTTGGAGGCCCAAGAGGTCCAGAACAGAGTTGCAATATTGCCCAAGGCTGCCCAAGGAACCAATTCGCAATGCGACTTCAGACACCACGGCGTGTCTTTCAAGCGAAGGATTCAATCATCCGGACACAGCTCCTCTGATGTGCGATACGCCTGGCTCCATGGCAAGTAGAACTTGAGCATGCGTGAAAAAGCGCGCAGTAGATGTATAACAGAAACTCGATCCCGAGACCCCGGCCACCCTGCGAGCAGCCTTGGCCGGCGCCCCGGTTTCCGCACGCCCGACGGTCGCGAGGTGTTCGAGCTCGACCAAGATCTGGACGAGGCCCGCCCGCCCCGTCCCAGCGACGCCGCGCTGCTGCGCGGAGTCCGCCCCCTGTTCACCTTTGCACTGTCAGAGAAGGAACAGGACATCCCCACCCCTGTGACCGGCGTTCCCCGGCTGCCAAAGAGCTTACCATACTAGACAGCCCCTCGGCGTTCACCAGACAGTCCTGCCCTGCTTGATACCATGGGCACGTTTACCAGGGGGGTTCGCTTGCAGGGGTGCTGATTCCAGCCCCTTGCCGCCCCCCTCGTCACGTCCTCTGGACCCGCCGGTTCTCAGAGATTCCTGGCTTACCCCTATCCAGATTCATGTTGATTTTGCCTCCGCTTAAACAGTTACGTACTATGAATACTTCTAGCCTCTCCCCCCCGAAGATGATACAATGTAGCACGACCCCCTTCTGCGTACATTACCTGTCTGATGGCTCCTACGCATTCGGATTGTTGTCGGTATTTCAGGATGGTGCTCCCGTCGCAGTGGGGTCCTCATGTTCGGATCGGCGCTGTGCTCCCGCCGTTCAGGATCTTGCTCTCGCCCTGGCGCGGGCCACTCTTCTGGATCCGAGCCTGGCTTCATTGTGCCCCTCCCCCCAGCTTCCTCTCCTCCGCCTTCCCCTGCTCCTCCTGCTCCTCCTGCTCCTTCCGCTCTGCTTCCTGCTGCTGCTGTTCGTCTCGCCCCAGCGAGGGGAGGGCCACTTCTCTGACTCCGAGTCTCTGTTGATCGTGGCCGCCCTCCTCATTTCCCCTCTTCCGCCTGCCCCGGGTCCTCCTTTTGTTTCCTATCCTGTCGCTCTAGTCCTGCTGCTGCTGCTCGTCCTTATCCTTTTCCTCCCGCTTTTCCTCTTTCTCACCCGCCACCTCCTCCTGTGCACGCAGCTACCCTTTTTCCGATTGCGCATGCCACGAAGTGGTCTTGCCGTGGGAGTCGCAGGTCGGCTATGACACGCGTCCGCGGATCATGAAACGCCAGCGCCATGGGACGGGATCGGAGGGAGTGTAAGGACGTCAGATGGGGCGCGAGCGCACCTAGCTTGGCCCTCTCCCCCTCTCTTTCCCCCCCCCCTTCCCCCCCCGCCCGTGCGCGTCGAAGGAGGGGAAGGGGAGAGGGCTAGGGGCCAGCCGCCCCCCGAAGAGCTCAAGCTCTGGCGCCATACAACGCGGAGGCCTGGCCCCCCGCAGGGGCCGCGGGAGACTGCTCCAAGGGGTGCCGCGCGAAGATGGCTGCGCGTCGCGCAGCGCGAGGCGGGTGCGGGCGAGGAGTGCCAGGGGGGGGGGGAGTGGGCTGAACCCTCGCCCGCCCATCTCCTCCTCCTCCTCCTCCTCCTCCTCCTCCTCCTCCTCCTCCTCCTCCGCCTCCCCTCTCTCCTCCCTCCCTCAGGGTGCCTGGAGGAGGGAGGGAGGGAGGGAGGGAGGGAGGGAGGAGCGCAAAGCGGCTGCGGGCAAGGAGTGCGGGGGGGGGGGGGGTAGTGGGCTGAACCCTCGCCCGCCCACCTGGTCTGTTGGAGCCACGGGCTGGGGGGCCGGTCGGTCGGACTCGGCACTGCAGCAGTCTGCACGCCCTCTTGCTCTGAAGGCTCGCACCCAGGGAGCCATGTGGAGTACACTGGTAGCTGCCGCCACCCATCCCCAGCGAGGGGGAGCCCCGCCCCGAGCCCCAGGTGGCCCAACGCACGGAGGCGGGAGGGCGGCGGACGGCGCGGGAGCGCTGGACACGCCAGCGCGGAAGACAGAGGGACATGCAGTCGGCCTGGAGAGAATGTGATGGGGCTGGGAGGATGGAGGGAGGCGGCCGAGGCGGAGAGGCAGGATAGGGGGGGGGGGGGGGGGGCAGGGGCGGCGGCGGAGGGGGAAGGGGAGGGGAAGGGAGTAAGGCCCTCGCCCACAGCAGGGCTTGGCGAGCCTCGGATGGTGGCAAGGGCGAATTGACTGGGCGTCGCTTAATGGGGGGGGCGCAATGCATGATGGGGGGAGACTTTTTTTGTTCCGCGGGTCGAGAGCGCACCTCTTCCGGTCGAAGCTAAGCGGACCGCGCACATCTTCAATTACAGAGGGGGGAAGGCAGAAGGAGGGGCCTCACGTCAAGGCCAGGAGGGGGCAACGCCCCGGAATCAGGCGGTGCCGAAGACGATGTGCTTGATGGGGGGAAGACAGGTGCACTTCTCGGGGCCGAAAGGCCCCCCCGGTGGGCCCTAAAGGTGAGCTTCTGCTCTCAGGGGCCCTCCGCGACGGCGGGCTGGCACCCACGCAGTGCACCCCATCAGGAGCGGATAGACACAGTAACCCGCCTATGTGTTGCATTGGTGACTTGGCTCTTGCATGCCGTGTGGCACTGGCGCACGTCGTTGACGACGCCCTCGTCCTCGTCGTACCCCTGTCTGACTCGGTCCGGGGTAAGTCCACGGTTGACGGTTTGATTTTCGTAGTGATTGAGATGACTCCTCCCCGGTCCTCCTCCGAGCATTTTCCCGTGTACCTCTTCTTTTCTTTTTGCGTCCCAATCAGTTCGAGGGTAGCCACGTGCCGGGCAACATGCCCACGTCTCATCTTTTAGTTCACCACGTCATGTGCGAGTCGGCCGAGCGGTTTTGTGGGTGAGGATTTCTCCGGGACCATTATGATATGTATATATGTAAAATATAAAGATAATATATATATATATATATATATATACAAATGTATCTTTCGATGTGTACACGTGTATGTATATATATATATATCATGTTTTAGTGTTCTGGCGCCCGGGTCGTCCCGCGCCTAATTTGTCACGCATTACTCGTATCACTCGTCCCATCTTTTTTTCCACATATTACACGTATCGTTCGTAGAAACAAAGTCATATTCTTGAACTGCTTTCTTTTTCTTACGAGTGATGCGAGCAATGTATGAAAAATGAGGAGTGGTGGGACGAGCGGACCGAGTAATACGTGAAAAATAGGGTGGGACGCGCGAGGCGCCTCCGGGGGGGGGCCCGGGGCCGTTGGGGAGGCGCTGGAGATGACGACATGCAGCCGCTTTGACCGTTTCTTGCTTGGCGCCCGGACGTCGTCGTCGTTGTCAGTCTGCCGCCGCTGTTGTTCGTCGTAAAAGTCGAAACCCCTGGTCGATGTACCCCTGTCTGACTCAATCCGGGGTAAGTCCACGGTTGACGCTTTGATTTTCGCATTGATTGAGATGACTCCTCCCCGGTCTTCTCCGCGAGCATTTTCCCGTGTACCTCTTCTTTTATTGTTGCGTCCCAATCAGTTCGAGGGTAGCCGCGTGCCGGGCAACATGCCCACAAGCCTCGGAACAAATTAGCGAACATTCATGATACCACATTCATTTGTCAACGGCTCCCCCTCCCCCCAATGTTCAAAGTTGGCGGTGGGTCTGATGAGATGCACTTCGACCGCAGTCTCCCCCGCGCGTGCCAACGTTGAGGTTGGGGGGGAGGGGGGGGGTGTTCAGTAATGGTTCCCCCCTGCCGTAGTAGCCTGCATGGCTCTTGCATGTCGTGTGCAATTTCGCACAGTTGTTATATGTTTCGGCAGTGTCTCCACATGCGGCTTCCCGCAGAAACATCGATCGAACGACAAACAATTACATACATATATATATATATATAAAAGATACATATGTATATATATATATATATATATGTATCGGAAGTCCGCGCGGATGATCGCCATCTGCGCTGGAGCCCCTCCCTGTCGCGCGGAGCGCGCCAGTTGCGGAGCCAGAGTCGCCAAGAGAGCTCCAGCGTAGAACCAAGCTTTATCTTCGCGGAGCTCCGAAAGGTTAGATGCGTACGAAGCTTGGTTTGCATTCTTCGTCGAATAACAGCATCCAGAAAAAACAGCACGACCATGGTAATTTCAGTACCGTTGCTCGTCTTTGAGAGCCCTCGTCGCCACGGCTGGATTCTTCTCGAAAGTCTGGTCAGAACGCCCTCCATCAAAGGTTTGTGGGGTAGCGGTATTGGTACCTTTGTTTCCCCCCCAGTGGTGACCTCCCCCCGCGAGGGTGAGGAGGAGGAGGAGGAAGAGGAAGAGGAGGAGGAAAAGGAGGAGGAGGAGAAGGAGGAGGAGGAGCGGAGGAGGAGGAGGAGGAGGGCGGAAGGAAGAGGATGAAGAGAGGGAGGAGAAGGGTTAGGGGAAGCTGGATAAGGACCAGTGCGAGCCCAATATTCAGCAACGATATTGCAATAAACCCTCCCTCAAGTTCCCCCGTTCACAAGCTCCTAGAACACCATCCGCGGGACGTCAACCCTAAGAGTCCTTTACATGGTGCAGATTTTCAAAACGCATGTTCGTTGCGCCAATGCGAGAGCCACACGTGAAAAAAAAAAAAACAGCCCGCTCTCCCCTGTGAGTATGCTGCCATAGTTTAAGACGAGTGCGCGGGGTGCTACGGCGAGGCCCACCTTTTGAAAACGGCCCGCCCTCCACCCGTGAAGCTGTTGGAATTTGTTTGCAGAGCACAATTGCGTGCGGCGCTAAGGCGAAAGCCACATGTTCACAGCGGCCCGCCCTCCGTCCGTGAGACTCCCTGGCGAACGTTTGCGACGAATGGGTGAAGCGCTGAGGCGAGAGCTGCACTTTTTAAGAGAAACATCCTCTCTTAATCCGTGTAACGATTGCTAACTTGTAAGACCGTGTGCGCGGCGCTAAGGCTAGAGCCACATCTTGAGCACAGCCCCCCCTCCATCCGTGAAGATTCTGCAAAGTTTTAAGACGAGTGCGCGCAGCGCCAAGGCGAGAGCCGTCGACGGCCTGCCCTCCATTCGTGAAGCTGTTGTAAATTCTCAGCTTCAGAATCACACATGGTGAGGAAGCCTCGGGCGAAACGCCAGGCCCACCTTACTGACCCGTCTCGGGGTGCGACGGGGAGGAGCTATTTATAAGGAGCCGGAGGATGAGGAGGAGGAGGAGGAGGAGAAGGAGGAGGAGGAGGAGTAGGAGGAGAAGGAGGAGAAGGAGGAGAAGGAGGAGAAGGAGGAGGACGGAGGAGGAGGAGGAGGACGGAGGGGAGGAGGAGGAGGAGGAGGAGGAGGAGGGAGGAGGAGGAGGAGGAGGAGGAGGAGGAGGAGGAAAGGAGGAGGATGCCTTCCCCACGTGCTCCCCCCCATTGGTCCCCACTCCCCGCGCAGGACCTCGACCTCGAACGCGCCCGCGCCTTGAGCTGGGCCGCCAGCCGCCAGCGGAGCAGGTCCGCCACCGAGGAGCCTCGCCCAACGGATTCGTTTGATTTGCTCGGAAGAGAGCCAGGTCGAGATCGAGACATGTTCGCGTCGTGAACAAAAACCATGACGGGAGGTGTTCGTAGTTTTCGGCCTCTCGGGGCCCTCACCGGGCCCCGGTGAGCCAGCGTGGAAAGCCAATCCCGAGGAAAGGGTCAGGACTTCCAGGGACCGAGCATCGAATCAATCAGGACTCGGCATGTCTGGGGATCGCTGTTCTCGAAGAACAGAAAGCGGCATACGCATGATGGTCGGGGGGTTCGGGGCAGCGTGTCGCTCCGCCGGTTCTGGCCCACCAAGCTTCGAGGCGACTCGCTATTCACTGCCCGGTCCCCCAGCTTCCACGCCCCCATTCTTTCCGGGCCTCCCACCCAACGGAGCGGAGCTATCCGCTCACAGTGCATAGCGTGTCGCCAGGGCCGCCCTGCGGGGGCGACACGCTTTCCGAAAGTTCCAGACCGTAAGCGTTATACATTCGGAGGTCCGCGCGGAGTTCTCGGATCGGCGTCGGGCGCCTCTGGCGACGCTTTCAAAGAGGGTCAAGCCGAGAGCGCTTTCTTCGGAAAGCAGAAATGGGCATAAGCATAAACATTCTGAGCTCTGCGTGAATTCCTTGGATCGGTGTCAGCCGGGCAGCCTTGGCGCGCTCTGCGCGCCAGGAGGGGGGGGGCCAGCTGTGCCGATCCAAAAGATCCGCCCGGACTTCCGAAAGTTCACCTTTATGCCGTTGCTTTTTTTCCTCCATTTTGAAAGCTTTTTTCCCTACCAAGGCTCTGCCTAGAAGGGTTCTTACTGTGATGTTGGCTTAAAGGGGCCGGGCAGTGTTCCCCGCCCCGGGCGGTTCCCCTGGCATCCGCCCCGCGGTTTCCCCAGTTACGTCCCCTGGGTTCACCCAGCTTAGCTTAGCTTAGCTTAGCGTATCTCATCTTAGCTTGACTTAGCTTAGCTTAGCTTAACGTAGCCTAGCCTAGCTTAGCTTAGCTTAGCCTAGCTTAGCTTAGCTTAGTGTAGTTTAGTTTAGCTTCGTTTATTGTAGCTTGGCTTGGCTTGGCTTGGCTTGGCTTAGCTTAGCTTAGCTTAGCTCAGCTTAGCCTAGCCTAGCTTAGCTTAGCATAGCTTAGCTTACCTTGACTTAGCTTAGCGCAGCGCAGCATAGCGCAGCGCAGCATCAGCACAGCATAGCATAGCATATCATAGCCAAGCGTAGCATAGCATATCATATCATAGCATAGCTCAGCATAGCATAGCATGTCATAGCATAGCATAGCGCGGCATAATATAGCATATCATATCATAGCATAGCATCGCTTAGCATAGCACAGCGCAGCACAGCATGGCATAACATAACACAGCATAGCACACACAACATAACATAGTATATCATATCATATCGCAGAATACCATATCACATCATAGCATAGCATAGCATAGCAACGCGCAGCATATCATGCCATATCATAACCTAGCATAACATTGCATAGCGCAGCATAGCATACCATAGCATAGTATAACATAGTGTAGCGCAGCATAGCATAGCGTAGCATAGCCTAGCACATCATAGCGCAGCATAACATAGCATAGCGCATCATAGCATAGCATACCATAGCATATCATAGCATAGCAGCAAAGCAAAGCAAAGGCAAAACAACTGCACCGCATATCGAGCATACAGATAATTGTAGATGTTGTTGTTGATGTAGATGCAGGTGTAGATGTAAATGTAGCTGTCGGTGTAGATGTAGATGTTGCTTTCCTAAATGCTCCAACTCCTAGGTAGGGTCGCACTGGGATAATTTGTCTTCTATTTTGAAACGTTCTCTTTTTGTGCCTCCTGGAGGCGCGGCTGGATTCGCCTCGAGAAGCGGGTCAGGAAGGACCCCAGGGAGGGGCCGTGGGGGCCGATTTTGAGCGGATTTGGGCCAGCCGGGAGAGCCGCCGCTATCACCAGGCGGTTCTCTTCCGTGTTGAGCGACTTGCCGCCAGAGTGATTGTTGGTGCGTGCCCACAGGGCTGGGTTTCCCCGGCACTGACCCCCCACCTGGCCCCCTGGAGCGGCGCACCAGAGGTCACCCTTGCCCAGGGCCACCCCTGCGTCGTGGAACCTATGCAGAGGAGGCGCGTTGCCAAATAATCTCCAGATGCCTAAACAAAGTTTCAACCATGTTTAAAACACGTACACCATTGAAGAATCTTTTCCACCACAGATTTATACAAAGGATATTCAAAGCATATGCACAACAGGTTCAAGCAAATCTACATGCAATAAGAGAATTGAGTGAGTGCACGCTGCTGTGGCATCCACAACTCTTGCGCGCAGCCGCACAAGAGTGAGACGTCAGCATATTTGAGCGCGGGATCTCGAATCGTCGGCCAGACGATGCTCCCGGCTCCACTCCGAGGCGCCCGCCTTGGGCGCCGCGTAATGGGGGGGTCATAAATGGGGGGGCGGCGAGGGTGGTCCGAAAAGGTACCCAAACGGTACCTAAACGAGCCCCCTGGGGCTCTGGAGGGGCCCGAAAGGGGCACGAAAGGGGACCTTTTCTGACCCCCCCATTTGTGACCTCCCCATTAAGCCACGCCCAACCGCCTGAGACCATCTCCTTCCAGATGCCCCATCACTGGACCCGCCAGCCGCCACAAGGGCGGCGCCAGCTGCACACGAGCCAGCCAGAACGCGGGGTGCCCCCAGGTCCCGCGAGCCCGCCGAGGCGAAGGCTGCCGCGACCCCTCCCTCCACGGCGCCCAGTTCCCGATCCAGGGGCCGCCCCGCCGGCCCTGGGCGGGCCAGCGTCCGCTTGCCTTCTGCGGGATGGACGCCGCGGCTCTAAGGGCGGCGAAGCGGCGGCGAACGGAGCCGCCGCCTCCCACGCCCGCCGCGGCAGGCCAGAGGAGCCGGAGCGCCGCACGCCCACTGACCATGCGCCTCCGCCGCCCCTGCCGCCGCCCGCCAGTGGCCAGCTCTACGGCGACGACTCGACCTCTGACCACCTGCGGTGAGCCGCGGGGCGGCCTCGCGCGTCGCTGCACCCAGCCCCTCACGCCGCCGCCTCCGGCCCCGGCTCCCGCTATCACCACCAGGGCAGGCCTCAGCGATATGCCTCCGCCGCCCCCCAAGAAGCCTACCGCCCCCCGGCCCCACGTACCCGTGGGCCCTCCCGAGCCCAGTCCGATACAGCGCCGCTTGGTTGCTCAGGTCTCCGCGTGCCCTGATGGGGAGCAGCCAGGTGCGTCTCACAGTCGCATGACGTGGAAGTCATGGTTGCGCAGGCATTGCGGGCATCCCATCGGCGACGCCACGCCCGCCCTCGCTGACCTCTCCGCCGAGGTTCTCGGGCATTTCGTAGATACCGTTCCCTGTCACGTTCTCGGCGATGCACCTTCACCTATCCCGTGCTGGTCCCCCTGGTCCAGTGGACGGGGCCGCATCCCCCCACGAGCGGCCCGCCTCTCGCCTCGCTGGAGGCCCAGGGCGGCTGCCTCGGCGCGGAGCCTTCGCCTCGCCGCCCTCCCTTCTCACGGGCTTCTGCCCCCACTGTTGTCATTCGTGCTTGGCACCCTTCTTTGCCTGCGCCCTCTTAGCGCGCACTGCACTTTGCTCCCTCTCGCTGAGCCCAGACCTCTACAGTCCATCACGCTCGCCGTTTGGGCAGGTGCCTCGGTCTGCGTGCACCGCGCGTCTCCACACGAGGCTCGCGGGAGGCCGTTCAAACGCGGGTGGGTGAGAGACTTGGACCGACAGGGGGGGGGGGGTGGTAGGGAGCCTCCCCTCGCAGCACGGGGCCGAAAGCTCCCAGGACGGTCAGGTACTCGGACTCCCTCAGGAGCGGCCACCAGGAAGGGCAGCGCCGACCCGCCCTGGGTCCGCATCTCTCTGGAGTAACCCAGTGCCAGCGCTAGCGACTGGAGGGAGGGGGAGGAGGAGGAGGAGGAGGAGGAGGAGGAGGAGGAGGAGGAGGAGGAGGAGGAGGAAGGAAGGGACCAGGGCGAGTGGCGATGACCTTCGCGCAGCACCGGGCCGAAACCAGCCCGTTTGCCTGCAAGGACAGGCACGCGGGGCGCCTCTGTGGCGACCGCCCTCGAGCAACACATGAGAGACGGCGAGGTCCTCGGAGACCCGCCACTTCACACCACCGCCATGCCGGAGGAGCCTCGAGCCGCGCCACGGCGGCCCGCCAGAGAGAGAACGCACGAGCTGCGGGGCCGCGTCTCCAGGCAGGTGCAAAGCCATGCAAAGGCAGCTGCCGCCTGCGGCACCCGAAGAGCCGTCACGGCGATCCGGAGGGGGGGAGACGGCTGCGCCGCAGCGCATCACGGCACAGCGATGCCGTGCGCGTGCGTGCGCGCGAGGCCGCGCAGCACAGCGGAATACAACACAAAACACAACACAACACAACACAGCACAACACCAAGTTGGTGTGTGTTGTGTGCTGTTTGTGTGTGTGTCGGTGTCGGTGTTTGTGTTAGTGTGCTTGTGTGTCTGTGTGTTAGTTTGTGTTCGTATGCGTGCTCGTGTTTTTGTCTTTGATTGCGCTTGTGCTTGTGGCTGTGTATGTTTGCGTGTTTGTGGTAGTGTGTGTGTGTGTGGTGTGCGTTTGTGTGTCTGAGTGCGTGTGTGCGTGCGCGCGTGCGCGTGCGCATGCGCATGCGCGTGCGCGTGCGCGTGCGCGTGCGCGTGCGCGTGCGCGTGCGCGTGCGCGTGCGCGCGTGCGCGTGCGCGTGCGCGTGCGCGTGCGCGTGCGTGTGTGTGTGCGTGTGCGTGTGCGTGTGCGTGTGCGTGTGCGTGTGCGTGTGCGTGTGCGTGTGCGTGTGCGCGTGCGCGTGCGCGTGCGCGTGCGTGTGCGTGTGTGGCGTGTGCGCGTGTGCGCGTGTGCGTGTGCGTGTGCGTGTGTGTGTGTGTGTGTGTGTGTGTGTGTGTGTGTGTGTGTGTGTGTGTGTGTGTGTGTGTGTGTGTGTGTTTGCGTCTGCGTGTGGTCGTGCTTGTTTTCGTGTTTGGTTTCGTGATTGTGGTTGTGTGTGCTTGTGCTTGCTTGTTTGAAGGTATGTGTTTGCGCCAGTGTGTGTGTCTGTGTGTCTATGGATATGTTGCCTGTGTTGGTGCTTGTGCTGGTGTTTGTGCTTGTGATTGTGTTTGTGCTTGTGCCTGGGTTGATGAGTGTGTGTGTGCACTTGTGTATGTATATTTGCATTAGTGTGTATATATATACATATATATATATATATGTTTTGTGAGCCTATTTGCGTGGTGAGCACGTGTTTGTGCTTGTGGTTGTGTGTTGTGGTTGTGGTTGTGTCTGTGGTTGTGTTCTTGTTTGTGTGTGTTTGTGTGTGTGTGTGTGCGTTCCAACTTCTCGGCAGTGTCCATCCGATATGCCAGGCCCCGAGGAGCTGACCGCCGCCGCCGTCGTCGTCGTCGACCCCGTGGCCGTCACAGAGGGCCGGCCCCCGTCGGCCCCGGCCGACCTGGCCGTCGCTGTCGGCGAGCTCGTCGTCTTCGCCGGCAGAGCAGCGGGCCTCGTCGACCTCGTCGTCGCCATTGTTGACCTCGTCGGGCTCGTCGTCGTCGCTCCCGGTTTCGTCGACCTCGCTCCCTGAGATCCGACGTGGCCACAGAATGCAACATCGCGAAAAATCACAACCAGAGCCCTGGACCCCATCTTTCTGCGGCGTTTGTCGAGCCGGATCGGTCTGTGATGGTGCCAGGGCCCGCAGCCTGGCGAAAACGCCCGGCGTGCAAAGAAAAACACGTCCAGATCTCAGGGTTGGTTTCCTCGTCGCCGCCGCCGCTGACGTTGTCGCTGTTGAACTCGTCGAGAGCTCCTCGCTGGCAGCGACGTGCAGAGAGGAGCTCGAGGCCGACGGCGGCGTGGAGATCCTGGAGCAGGCCGACGCCTTCGAGGTGCGGCGGCCCCAGCGGCCGCGGTCTCGCGCGCAGGTGCGCGAGCCCG